TGAGGGGCACCGGCAGGGCTGGGGGTCAGGGCTGGGCTGGCGGGGGCTGTGGGTCGGGAGTGAGGGGCACCGGCAGGGCTGGGGGTCAGGGCTGGGCTAGCAGGGGCTGCGGGTCGGGAGTGAGGGGCACGGTCCCATCTCTCTCTCCCCCCTCCCCCAGCGTATCTCCGCCCGGTCTCTTTCTCCCGCCCTCCGGTTTTTTGGTCAGTCCGTCCAAGGGCGGCTGGATCTCAGCGGGGACGGACTCACGGACGTGGCCGTTGGGGCCCTGGGCCGGGCCGTGCTGCTCAGGTAGGGGAGAGGCCAGCGGAGGGCACTGCTGCGGGGAAGCTCGCAGCACTGGGGAAATGGGGGGGGGAATTGGGGCTGCTGCTGGGGGGCGCGTCCGTCTGTCCTGCTCTCTCACTGTCCGTGCGTCTGTCTCCCGGCAGGTCCCGTCCGGTGATTGGCGTCTCCTGCTCCCTGGTGCCGAATCCGACCCTGATCCCCCTGGACAATGTCGGCTGCACCGGGGGGGCGGCGGGGGGGCCGGGCAGTTTGCTCTGACCCTGTGCTTCAACCTCAGCCAGATCAGCCTGGGGGGGCCAGGTGAGACCCCCCCACCCGCTCGTCCCCAGCTCCCTCCGGCGCGTTCCCTCGTCTGTTCTTTCATTCGCCCCTTTCGTCCCCCCGCTCTCCCGCAGCCCCACTGCGCGCCCGCATCTCCTTCATGCTCCAGGTGGATGCTGGGAAATCAAACCCGCGCCTGGCGCTGCACGATGGGACCTCGCAGCTCGTGGAGACCATGCTGGTCGGCTCTGGGCCAGCCTGCGCCACCAAAGCCCTGCACGTCCTGGTAGGACCCCGCTCCCAGCCCCCAGGGCACTGCTGGGTGGGAAGCTCACAACGCTGGGTGGGGGAGTCCCTGGCTGGGGGCACTGCTGTGGGGAAGCTCGCAGCACCGGGTGGGGCAGTCCCTGGCTGGGGGCACTGCTGTGGGGAAGCTCGCAGCACCAGGAATGGGCAGTCCCTGGCTGGGGGCACTGCTGGGTGGGAAGCTCACAGCACCGGGTGGGGGTGTCCCTAGATGGGAGCACTGCTGTAGGGAAGCTCACAGCACTTACCCCTCCCCCCAGCCCTGCCTGGAGGATTTCCTGACGTCGGTGAAGCTGCAGGTGAATTTCTCGGTCCAAGGGGAGCCGATCCCCGGCACACGGGGTCTGACCCCACTGCTGCTACCCAACACCACCACCACCACCCACATACAGGTACTCGCCTCCCCCAGCCTGCTGCCCGGACGCCTGGGTCCCTTCCCCTCCCCCAGCCTGCTGCCTGGACGCCTGGGTCCCTTCCCTCCCTCACCATGCCACCCGGATGCCTGGGTCCCTTTCCCTCCCCCAGCCTGCTGCCTGGACGCCTGGGTCCCTTCCCTCCCTCACCATGCCACCCGGATGCCTGGGTCCCTTCCCCTCCCCCAGCCTACGGCCCAGACGCCTGGGTCCCTTCCCCTCCCTCACCATGCCAC